TCGCAACTGCGCGCGCGCAAGTGATGACCGACGGATTTCCTGGGGCCGAACATGAGCGCCGGGCCCGCGGCCTCAACTGCGATATGAACGAACTTGCTCGGCGGGACAAGCTGCGTCGCGTCGGCTAGAGTGCCGGGCGCGTTCTGGTGACAGATAGAAGCGCGCTTGGCCATTCCCGCCCCCGGGGGCTCGATGTCCTCCGACCTCCGAAGACGCATTCTGGCGGGCGCCCGGCAGTGGATCACAAATGCATGATGCGCAGGGAAGGCCCGGCGCACTCGGCGCTGCGGGCGACTTTCCAGGGCCCGCCGGCGGGATTGTGAGCGGCCCGTCGTCGTCGAGGTAATGTGAGCTCGGGTTTCGTCCCTCTCCTCGCCCACCATCCACGCCCGCGAGGTCCCGGCAACGATGTCTGCGCCCAAACCCATCGATGAAGAGCTGCAGTGGCGCCGCAGATGCGGCGAGGAAGGCGCGCGGCCTTGCAGGCGAACCAGGCCGCGGTGCGCAGCGGGGGGGGGGCGCGCCAACGTCGAAGGTGGGGCAGCCTGCGTCGGGCAGGACTTCCTGACCAAACCGCCCGGCTGCCGAGTTGCAAGCAGCTGTTGAAGATCAGCCTCTCCGAAATAAAACTTTCTTGGATAGTGGCGCGTGCGCGCTGAAGAACGCGGGTGGCAGGCTTTCTACAGGCTCGGCCAAACTGCGCGTTGTCGAGTTTCCCGGGGCAGCGAGTCCAATAGTTCCAGGGGCCCAAAACGCGGCGTCGACGGCACCATGGGCTATTATCACTTATGGGGGGGGGATTGCAAGCTCATGGCCCCACGATGAAGAACATGCCGATCAAGAGCGCTCGGCGCTCGAGCGGCCGGGCCCGCCCTGGGCCGCGCCGAGTCGGGGGCCCCGCCGGGGCTGGGGCTCGAATCGCACGCTTCCAAGATCGACGCGTAAAACTCGGCCCCCCTCTAAATCCAACGGCACCTTCCCGGGGGCGCTTTTAGAACGGGGCGGGGGCCCAGCGCGACGCGCTGCAGGCCCGGCAAGCCAGCGCGCGGAGCGCGCGCGCGGCGCTCCAGCGCCCTGCCGACAGCCACCCGGCCTCCTCCGGGCCCCAGATCTGGGCCCCGGGCGGATCCGCAAACTCTGAGAGGATGATTCGTCGACGACGTTTCCCTCTGGGCTGGGAGGTAATTTGCGGTCCCGGTTCGGACGCCGACTTTCTTCGCGGCGGGGGCTTCCCGCCGTTCGTGCTCTCGCAGCAGGTCGCCGCGTTGATTATTTAAGTTAAGTTGCCCTCCAAAGAACGCGAAATCCAGGTTGGTTGCCGGATGCCACCGCCTGCATGAGCAAACGCCCGAGTAACCGTGGAACCGCGCTGAACCTGTCCTTGCAGAGCTGCCATCAGAACCGCCAGAGCCCACGGCGCCATCTCGCTCGTGGTGAGCACACCCTCAAATGTCTCATCGCTGCGCGGCCACGAGCGGGCGCTCTGCCTGAGGGCCAGCGCGCTCGAAAAGCTCGCGCACAGACTCTATAAACTTCGAGCGCCTGGTCTCCCGCGGCGGAGCGCGAGATCCGCCGGCGCGACGCCTGGCGCGCGCGAGCGCAACAGGGGCGCGATCGGATAACCACCGCTTGCTGCGAGGAGGTAGCAGCGCGAGACTGGGCGGCGAGAACACCAGGAGGATGGCGCTGGGCATGTTGGCGCATGTTCTGTCGAGCCTCGATATGGGCGGTTTGAATGGCCGCTCTCTTGCGTTATCCATCGCGCGGCGCGTGGAATGAAGCTTCTCAACGTCGGCCAAACCAAGGGGCTGGTCGCTGAAACGGGGGGTGGGCGCGAAGAATTCGGCGGGAATCTCGTCTGCCCAGTCATGGCGCCACCCCTCGCCTTCGGCGCGAAACTTCCAATCCCGCGCAGCGAACGAAGTCCGCGCGCGCGGGGTGTCGGCGTGCTCCGACGCGTTGAAGTTCGCGCTTGGCACGCGCAGCGCTGCTCATCAGATCGATGCGTGAACCAGCGGGGGAGAAGATTGCGCGCGCGCCCGCGGAGTAGGACACGGTGAAACGCGCGCAAAAAATGCACTTGCAGCAGAGGCGAGACGAATATAGGACCGCCGCCAGCGGACCGTTCAGGAAAGAAGGCCCCCACCCATATAATATATATATATATATATATATATATATGTACACATGTACATATGCATGTACATATATGTATATCGCTGAGTCTTTCTCAAAGCCCCCTGGGCGCAAGAGACGAGCGTTTCTGGATGAGTCGAACAACTGCGGGATTTCTGTTTCAGCGCTCCGCGACAAGTCGCGCGAAGTCCACACGCGCGCCTGGCGCCCGAAGAGACTGTCTTAAAGTCGCCTTTGGGATAGAGTATCAGCCAGCGTTGACTCAAAATAAAAAACAGGTGATGATGGTGATGATGACGATGGTAACGCTGATGGTGCTGGCGATGATGCAAAGAGGTTGAGGGGCGCTCAGAGGCGGTGCATAGGCATAGGCATAAGCATAGGAGCGCTCAGAGGTGGTGCGTAGGCATAGGCACAGGCAGAAGCATGGGCGCAGGCATAAGGGTAATGGGGAGGCACGGGCATAGGCATAGGCATAGCCAACGGACCAATTAGTAAGGCTTCAGAAGGAATTCCGATAGGGCAAACCTGTTTGGAGAAAGGTGTTGTTGCAAGGCGCCGGCCTTGCCCCCGGGCCAGCGGGCCAACTGAGAGAAGTTGAAGACGCGGAACACCCAGTAGATAAATGGTCCGTTGCCAAGTACGCGCCCCGCCGATAAGCAAGACGCATACCAGGAGGAGACAGAAGAGGAAGTGGCACTCGACGCAGATGTAGATCAAGCTCGTCGCCGCGCAGACCCGAATGTCGACTGAACAGGAAGGCGCCCTCCCGAGCTGGATGCACTAAGGTCGACCGTACGAGTCAGAGGACAGTCATAGTCCACGGCGTCGTTAAGCAGGTTGCTGATCTGAACTTGCGAGAGACCGGTGATGGTGAACACCTCCGTGTTGGGCTTGAGTAGGGCGGCCCAAACCAGAATCTTCAGTGCGCGCGAGTAAGACACTGACCCGATCCTCCAAGGTCCAAGAGCAGCATATCCTGGTGACCGTTGACGCCGAGCGCGTTCTGGCCAGCGATGTCCTTGGACTTGGGGTGATCCGACATGCCCGGCCAAACTCTTCCCAACGTGCGAATCCGACGACGAAGATCAGCATTGCCATCGTGACGGACACGAAGCGGTATCTGCTTGCCGTCGCCCTGGGTGGAAGCCAGCCCGCTGCTCTTGACGTGTTCGATGAAGGCCTTGGCCTCGCCAGCCGTGCTGACAGAGATGTTGGACGACGTTTTCAAGTTGTGGGCCTGCGCGCTCATGGGCTTGGCGACATGCGGGGGAAGATGCGGTACAAACTGATCCGTGTAGAAGGTCATCATGACGCGGCCCAACATGGGTTCCGTGAGGCCGCCTGCCAATATTTTGTATGGGTCCGAGCCGTCATCTTGGACATCGGCGCTGCTCTTGACGGTGAGACTGGCGCAGCTGTTGTTGGTGCCGAGAGCAAGCCCTTACCCTTGTCGTTGCCTTTGGTCCAACGTGGAAGCCGAGCGCCCCCAGCTGTGGACGGTGCAGGACCTGGCGGCTTCCAACGTTACGATCGTGTAGCAGAAATGCTTGCGAGCATCTTTCTCTCGACGTGGACGACAAACTCGAGCTCCTTGGCAAAACCGTGGCCAGACTTCGTGCCCCGCTCCACCGTGGTCATCCTGCTCCCAAGATTCTGGATGGTGTTGCTCCGGTCGTCGATTTTCAACGCGAACACCGTAGATGTCAGAGTTGGTGATCAGATTCTGTTCCGTGCGGGCGGGGGGTTGCCATGATCCCCGCATCCTCAACGCACTTTTCTTATAAACAATTAACTCCCCGCGGAATCTACAGCAGCCGCCATGGCGCAGGAAGTGCGAAAATAGGATGTGTCCGCTCGGGCACGACACCCAAGATCGCGCCTTCAAGAGACGCTGCCCGCCCGTGCGCGTTGGCACTTGAGCCCGTATGGCGACGGACGTGGGGGAGCGAGGAGGAGGAGGAGGAGGAGGAGGAGGAGGAGGAGGAGGACCCCCCACTCCTCCTCCTCCTCCTCCTCCTCCTCCTTTTCCTCCTCCTCCTCCTCTTTCTATCCCCCCTCAAGGTAATTCCTCCTTCCCCTTCTCCTTCCCCATCCCCCTCGGCCGTCCGACGGCCGCACCCGCGGCGGAAAAGCAGGGCGTCAATTCGGCGTGCCCGTCTGCCGCTCTCAAAGCCCCTCCCGTCGCCAAATACTTCGCGCCGCAGCCCGCGGCCAGGAAGAAGGCGACCACCAGAAAGGCCTCGCAGCGTGGTCCACCGGCTATCCCCACGGAGCCAGGGGGGGCCAGGAGCCGGCCAACGCAGCCCCTCCAGAGGCAGAGCAAACGTGCCGAGGTCGGCCTCCCAGACGCAAAGCATACAGCTACCCCCTATATGCTGCCCAGCACCCAAGCTCGGCGCTTCAACGATGGGGCCCTGATGGCTGGGGCCCTGAGGAGATGAAGGGGGATCGCAAGCTGACCTTTCACAGTTTCAGGCCACTCGTCCCTGGGGACCCCTCTCTCAGGGCCCCATCCTTGAACCGCCGACAAGCCCTCCGGAGGCAACGCAGCCCCCCGCCATCGCTCGGACGTCCATTCCCAGTGCATTCTTCGATCTCGTGCGTGTTTTTCTCGCAGGATGATCCAAGTTGCTTCTCGACCGTCCTCGCCGAGGAAATACCTGCAAACGTCCGAGCGGCACCAAGGCACAGATGCTCCGCCCGGCTGGTCGCTCCTGGGCCATCCCTGGCCCCACTAGGCGGCCCGTGGGCCGTGCGCCTCGCAGCGGGTGGGCCATCGGCAGCAGGAGGACTTGTCCTGGGCGGGCTCCTTGCGCGAGACGGCGGGGTCGCGCTCGGGCATGCGGCCGTTGGTGGTCGACCTGTATATGCCGATCCGAGCACATCGCCGATCGAGGATCCTTCGAGCGTGCCGTCTCGGAGGCGCTGAGCTGGGGTGCGCGAGGAAGGAGGGAAGGCGGAGGAGGAAGGAGGAGGAGGAGGAGGAGGAGGGGGAGGAGGAGGAAAAGGACGGGTAGTAGTAGTAGTAGTAGTAGTAGTAGTAGTAGTAGTAGTAGTAGTAGTAGTAGTAGTAGTAGTAGTAGTAGTAGTAGTAGTAGTAGTAGTAGTAGTAGTAGTAGTAGTAGTAGTAGTAGTAGTAGTAGTAGTAGTAGTAGTAGTAGTAGTAGTAGTAGTAGTAGTAGTAGTAGTAGTAGTAGTAGTAGTAGTAGTAGTAGTAGTAGTAGTAGTAGTAGTAGTAGTAGTAGTAGTAGTAGTAGTAGTAGTAGTAGTAGTAGTAGTAGTAGTAGTAGTAGTAGTAGTAGTAGTAGTAGTAGTAGTAGTAGTAGTAGTAATAGTAGTAGTAGTAGTAGTAGTAGTAGTAGTAGTAGTAGTAGGAGGAGGAGGAGGAGGAGGAGGAGGAGGCGAAGGAGGACTGGTTCCCCGTGAAGTGCGGCTGCGGGGGCTCTCGCGACCACCGCCGCAACAGCCTCCGCGACTGGATCGTGCTCTTCCACCAAGCGCAGACCAGTCACGCGGCGGTCACCGAAAACCGGGTCCCAGCCTGGGACCGCGTGGACAGTACCACCGGGGAGCTGAAGAAACCCGCCTCGACGTGGCTACCCGCGACGCCGCCCCTCGACTTGACTGGTCTGTCATCTGCGCACACTCTGACAATCTCGAGCGCAAATGGACACGATCCAACAACGATAGGCTGGCTGCGTCGCGGGCGGTGGGCGTCAAACGGAACCGACATCCTCCCTCGGGAGGAGAGCTGGTCCCAGCAGTCCTGGAGACGGGAGCGCGGCCTGCGGATGAACTCGTCTCGTCCGTCCGTTCATACGGCCGAGGCCTGCCCGAAACGGAGCGGTCGGTCGTGGTCGCCGCCGCGTGGCGCCGCATCAAGCGCACGCTCGTCGTGGGCAACGCAGCGATGATTCTCAGCGCCTGCTGGGCGCCGGCGGCGCCCCCCCGCGCCCGCCACTGCAGCGCCGCCCCCCGCCGCCGCCCCCGCTCGCGTTGAGCGCGGCCACGGCCGCCGTGTCGAGCGACGGCGCCCCAGCCACGGCCGCCCCCCCGCCCCAGGCCTGACGCTGGCCCGCCCCGCGCCCGATGACGCGCTGCTCGGCGGCCCCGCCGTCCAGGCGGGTCGCCTTGACACGACACCACTTCCGACGCCCCCGCCCCCGGCCGCCCCACCTCCTCCCGCCCCTCCCCCTCCTTGCTCTGGCCGGCCACCCTTGCACGGTGTTCTCCATCCTTCTCCCCCCGACGCTGCTCTGTGGGGGTGTGTCCTCTCGCCGGCACCTGGGCGGGCTGTCGCCCCCCGTCGGGGTGCCGAAAAATCGTCCCTGATGGGCACGCCCCTAGGATTATGTTGCTCCCATCGTACTTGAAGACTGGCAAAGTTCATGATCTTCCTTCTGCCTCTGCTTCCCACGCCTCCAGCGTCTGGAGACAAACTGCGACGGCCCCCTTGTGGCCCACGGCCGCGACGGCACAGCTGTGGAAGGCTCCGTGGGATTCATGTGGCAGCAGGGCCTCCTAGGATCGAGAGACGACGCAACCCTCAAAAATATAGAAGACACTTGCAACTTGGGACTTGGTTAGGAGACAACTACTGGGAGGTCTTCGTCAGAAAGAGTTCAAGAATCTTAAACCCCACTGGTGGGCTGTTGCGCCAGAGCGGGCCCCGGATGAAGCGGGATTTAAGCAGGATCAATCGGGATCAAACAATACTAAGCGGGAGTAAGCCGGATTAGGCGGGATTAGGCCAGATTCAGCGGGATTTCGGGCCAGGGCAAAATCAGAATACGACCTCCCAAGAGTTGCATCCGAACCTTGGGGCCATCTTTGGCTTCCGCGTGCTCGGCCTCCGGAGGCCCGTTTCGGCCCTGGGGACCACCGCAGACCTGCACGGGAAAACAGGAGCTGGCCCCCGTCGATTTCTGCCGCTGCACCCTCTGCCCCCAGTCATGGGAGTCCCTGCTGCAGCTGCGGAGACCCGGGAGCTGCAGGCACCAGCGAGGACTGGTGCATGTGGCCTGCAGGGCGGACACTGCAGGCTGGCCAAAGAGAGCGCCGCACGGCGCGGAAGAAAATGGCAACGCTGGCACTCGAAGGCCTATGCACTCAGGCAAAGGCCCGAAAACAGGCACGGCAGGGCGCCCAAAATGGCGACGCAGCCGAGCACCCGCCATACCTCCTCAGTCTGAGGAGCCAGACGACAGCCCCTCGGCTATCGCCTCCTCAGCGAAAGAAGCCTTCTCCGAGCGGTGCCCAGCCCGAACACATGCAAGCGACGCCGAGGAGGAGGCAGAGGAGGAAGTAAGGGGGGGGCCCTGCACAACAGAATCCTCGAAAGGAGTGTGCAGGGGGGAGAAGTGCGCACAGGATGCGCGGGCCTCGGACGCTGCGCGGATCGCAAGGTCCCGAGAAACAAAACTGGCCTCACCAGCGCTGCTCTGCGAAGCGGCGTTGGGGGGCTGAAAGACAGGGGCGGACGAGGCGGTGCAGCGCCCCGGGCCACCAAGTCTCTTCCGACGAACACGACCGCCCGACGACTCTCCGACGACACCTCTCGCCTCCTCGAGTCGGGTTGTGCTGCGCTCCGTAGCAAGAGGAGCACCTGCCCCAACGTGCGCAGGCCCAGCAACAGGCGCGGCGGCGGAGGAGGAGGAGGAGGGCGCTACAAAGAGACGGGCCACAGCGAGTGCTTCCGCATCCAACCAGGCTTCCTGCTTGGGATGCTTGCCCGCCTGAATTCGTTGCCAGTAATAGCGACCTGACTTCAGGCAGCTGGGCTTGCCGAGACATTCCCGCTGGAGGTTGCGGACATGACCTCCAGACGCAAACGATTTACAGGCAGTGCACACCACCAGCCTGCTACCGTCAGAGACTTCAAACGACAAACAACTGTGCCCCAGCTCCTGGAGCTGGCTCCCCAGAAGCTGGTGGGTCTGTGGGCGCTCGCTGTTAGGTGGCCACACAGCCCTCGTCTCCCTCAAACACTGCTTGCACTGCCAGTATGACCCGCGCCAAGCCCACGCATGGCGTTCACGCGCCCTCGGCGGCGGGAGGGGAGCAGGCTTGTCCCGCGTGGCCCTAGAAAGGTCGCACGGTGGCCAGGCAGGCAGAACGCGGGCAGCCAGCGCGCACACTGCACGGCAAACAGCAAAGGGCTCGCTGGAGCCAAGTTTCGCGCTCGACGCTGGGCCGCTCATGGGCCAGGGCGCCGAGTTTAGCATAATGATCAGCCAAATCGTTACCAGACTTGCACCATGCCCGGTGCGGGTCCTGGGAGGCAACCTCCTCTGTCATGTGACCTTTCACCTTGTGGGGCGGTCCCATAGCAGAGCCGGCTGTCCAAGTAAACATGCCAGCGTGGACTCTCCCATGCGAAAGCTGCTGACTTCGAGGCGAAACCCACGCGTTGACGACATTCTGACAATCACTGCGCCCTTCGGAAGGGGCCACCGCATGTTGGCAGGCGGCGCTCCAGGCAGCAAGTTCGGCAGCTTTGGCCGTCTCTGGGGCAGGGGGTGGGAGGGGAGCGTAAACATGAACCTTCTCCTGCCCATCATCGGACACACGCACGCGCGCCCAAGCCGAGCGCGACAGCTCGCGAACCACATGCCGTATGCCCGAACCGTCAGTGAAGATTTTCCCTTGCATCTTCGTCTCCAGACACTCGGGGTCATCAGCGTGACATACCGTAAGCAACTGCTCGGACGGCGGCGGGAAGAAGCCCCCTGGGTGCGCGAAAACCCAAGTGGTGTAGAGCACAAGGTCCTGGGCCGAGAGCTCCGACTCCAAACCAGGCTCCTACTTAAAGTCACCCACAACAGCTTCGCGCTCCGAGGCCACCGCCGAGCACTTCCACAACCGATGAAACAAAGTGTCGCGAGCGGCTCGGCACATGGGGCATCTGTCGTCCTCGAGGTGGTTGCCAGCCTCAATGGCCCAAGCAAGAGTCCAAGGGGCCTGACAGGCGAGCCCTCTGATGCAACCCTTTTCCCACGCCGAGAATTTCGAGGGAGACATGGCGGCGAGGTGAACGTTCAGGCACGCCCTGCGCCACAGACCAAGAGACTCACCGAACTTACGCTCATGACACTTGAGGGCAGCAACCTTGAGGGGCCGAAGGATGACGGCAGGGGGGGCGAGAGTTAACGACACTTCAGTCCCCTTGTCATCGGCCAGGGTGCTAAAGTTCGGCATGCTCCAACCTGGACGCTCCGCAGACAACCGCATGGCTCCAGCGGGCCCCCGCGCCTGACGCCGAGAAGAGAGGGGCCCCCTGTGGACTTGCATCCACGATCACCTAAGCTCAGACATAGACAGACAAAAGGCGAACGACCCGACGAGGCTGGACCAAACTGCTTTCGACCAGCGCACAATGGGGGCCACCGACGCATGCCGCGTAGGGTCCGTGACGAAGAGAAGGGCCGCAGCCAGCGATCTGCTGCCAGCGGTGGGTGCCAGAAACTTGCCAAGAGACCGACGGAGGGCCGCCAGATCGTGGTCCGAGGTGCCATGCACCTCGCAACCATGCGTTCGGCTGGGCAGCGCCTGGGTCGCGAAGATCTTCCGAGCGAAGCGCCCCGGCAAGGACTCGCGCAAACGAAGACGAGCGACTTTCTTCGAGAACATGGTTTTACGAATCAGCTCCTTCCTTCCTCTGCGACCAGCGCGGCGGGGCTGCCCAGCCGCGTCGTCAACGCCTAAAATGACAGCCGGGGGGGGCGCCTGACCGGCAAGCTCGCAGAGGCGTCTGCGCATCGCCTGGGCAAGGCGAGGGCTCGAGAAAACACTGGGAGCCTTACTAACGGCGATGGCGCAACCGAGATCGCCCTCACTGGTTTCTTGCAAATGGGCAGTGGCT